CTTTCTTCTTTTGGCTTTGGGAAAAGCATCATTTTACACCATTTTACCAAACATACCGAGAACTAAAAACTTCAAGGATGATGTTAGACAATGTGATTTATCTAGAACTTGCTGTTTGATGTTAGCAAATCATGGAATGTTCAGAATCCCTGAGGGTTTACTGTGAAGTGCTGAGGACAGTGTTGACTCCTAACTGGTTTTCTTAGATGGAAATGGAGACATCGAACCCTCTCTCTCGCCATGGTAAACCACTCCAGAATGGCCACCGGGTTTCCCAGAGTTCTCTGGTCTTCTTCCCAGGAGAGTTTTTAATTGTAAATGCAGACTTGGGAAGGACTTAGACTTTTAAACTGGTTTTGGCTTTTGCTTTTCCCTGACTCCCTTTGCTGGAGTCAGCTGCACACCAGTAGTACGGCATGCTACGGTCGGTTTTTGTCCTGAAGGCTTTGCCTCTTTCTTGGCAGAGTTTCTGGTATGGTCAAGCTTGTAAATAACTTTTTTTACATTTTAATCTTTTCCATTAATTAAGAGGTTGAAAAGAAGTGCAGTGTAAGAAAACCCAGCATTTTAATTACTTGCAAATTAAGTTACCACGGACTCTGTAGTGTGTAAATGTTGACAAGGAATTGGATCACAATCATGTAGCAGAACAGCTCCCAGACTGCTGCCCGCCACCAGTGACGGCCGCCCACGTGAAGATCGTGATTTCCGCCCATGGAGCCAGCATTTGAACCTTGTACAATTAACTTTCAGTTATGATTTCCCATCTTCATTTTCTTTGCTCTGTTTGTAGCTGAATTTTGTGTTTTATAAATCCTCTATTAAAGCAGAAGGGTGATTATGAGTGGGTCACAGCAGCCCTTAAAAGCTGGGCCAGAAAATTTCTCTAGGTCAGTAATTGAAACTTTGGATCTTCAAAAATAATAATAATGTGAAGCAAAACCAACTAAAAAATGATTCTTGCACATGAACTGTCACATGTTTAAAATGTGTTTTTTAGAGAGCCTCAGTCTTGCTGATTTCAAATACTTTTTTCTTCTGTGTATTGCTTTTAAGAGAGCCATCAGTTAGCTATCAGACTCTAGGTTGATGCATTTTGTACTTAGCTGTACTGTGTGATATTTTTCATTATTTTAGGACGCCAACATGAGACCTGTAATAAAATATGTAATGGGGTTGGAAGCTGGGGAGGAGGACCTACTGCTGTACAGCTAATAAATCATAACGGATTAACAAGTGCTCCGAACAGTCCGCCTTGTGTGCTTCCTCTGATGAGGGCCCGGTGCGGCCATGTGCATGGGCTGAGGTGGTGCCTTTCAGATCAGCTGTGTTCCTGTCATGGCAGCTTCCTCTTTAGCAGATGGCAGATGGTCTCAGCGTTTGATAGGATACTGAGTGCATCCTGCTGCGAGTCTTAACTCCTTGAAAGTGGGTGAGTAGCGAGGGGGGTGGGTGAGCCAGGAGTGGGTTCTCAAGCAGAGGGGGTGGGCCATAGTTTGGGTGGTTTGGGCTGATGGGCAGCGCTGTCCTCGGCATCTCTGCTCTAGTACTGAGATCAGTCCCTCAGATGCGGCCAGGATGGCTGCCGAGGGACACAGGGAAGCTGACCCTGGAGAAGTCCATTTGAAAGGGGAGACTGCGTGTACAACCTCCAGGCTGTGGGGTGATGGTGCAGCTACTTGTTTGCACCACAGGGAGCATCCAAGGGCGTCATCCCAGGAAACGTGCATCGTGCATGGCTCCCTGCGCCGCCACTGCTGGCCGAGTCAGAGCAGTGCTCCGGTGACCCAGTTAGGTAAACGTTTCGGCCACTGATGATAGTTTTTTTTTTTTTTTTTTTCAAGTGTGCATGAGACATTTATTTGATGGATGATTTATTTCAGTTCAATCTCGTAAATATGTAGTGGTAATGATTTTTTTTTCCCTATGTGAAGTATTTTAATAAAGGTGATGACAGTTTTTAAAACCAGAGCTCTAACTTACCCAGGTTTCAGTGAACAGTAGCAATAAGATGTGTCTAGCCTTGGGCTGGCTTATTCTGCCTATGTACTTGGCTCTCGCAGGAAATGGTTCTCGGTGGCCTCAGGACTCCACCAGGCAGTCAGCTCTTTGGATTGAATGTTAGTAGCATGAAGCTGGGAGCACTCAGTCTCCTTCCCATCTGGGGGCCCTCAACCAGAGGTACTTCAGCTGGCACATGACTTTTTTTTCAAATGTAAGTATTCACATTAGATGGCTGTAGGCCAGTGAGATCTATGTATTGGCTTCAGAGCTCTTCATTTCTTATGGCATACATTTAGTTTGAGAGTTCATTTTTTAAAAAATATTTATGCATACGAGAACTGGGTTGTAAACCAGAAGTACAGGGGGTGAGAGGATTCACCAGAGAGCGTGGGGAGCAGAACAGGCAGATTGACGGAAGTACACTGCTGAGACGGGATGTCCGCTGCACCATGTGGGTCAGCTCCCTGGCTGGACTCCCGCTGCAGTGGCTGCGATAGCTTGATAGCTCTGTCTAAACCCTGCACCACCAGGGAGGCCCCAGTTTGAGAGTTTACGGGTGGGTTGATTTTGGTTGGGGATGGGATGGTTACGGCAGAAAAGGAAGTCCCCTGTTGAATAGTAATGAAGTGTCCTCTGTGACTCCATCATGTGGCAAGCTGTGCTCAGCGGCCGCGGGTTCTCACTATTACTCCACGCCAGAGTGCCTTGGGGGGAGTTCCCCAGTGTGTCAGCAGCACCCTTTCCGGATGTCAAAGCAGAGCAGATCCTAGCAGGCCCTTTCCACACTGCTGGGGTTGCCAGTCCTGTAACCCAGCTCAGCCTGAGCCCTCTCCTGCGTTTCACCAGGATCTTTGTCTTTTCAAGTCCTCTGAGGGGAAACTTGTGGCGCCACTGGGAGGTGCGGTTCACCGGCCTGTCTCCATCCTGTGCTGCCCCGGCCAGGCGGGCTGAGGCCTCTCACGCTTCTAGCATTTCCTGAGCACCCACAAGTGTGTCATGCGCTCTGGAACAGACAGACTTTGAGCAAGCTTGAGGCCTCACCCCCCTCACTGAGTCATTGTCACTTGTAGGAGCTGAGACTGTGCACTTGGGCCCCCATAGCAGGCTCTGTTGTGGCCACCCTGACCCCCAGCAGTTCTGGAGTGGGTGCAGCCTGGCTCTCCAGGCCTGATCTCCATGCTGATTGTGGCTTCCTCCTCCCTGGACACAGGCTCTGAAGCCGCCAGTGCGCCTACTGGCCTGGAGTCCAGCTTGAGCCCTTTGGCAGTTGTTTCCTCTTGTAGTTCTCATCCTGTCACACCAAACAAATCCTGGTGAGGCCGGTTGTATCTGTTCTGTTTTGGAGGCCTCGGTTGCCATGGTATATTTGGCAAACGCAGGTGTCCACTGAGTGCCAGGAGCTGTTGTGAGCACTTCTCTTACACATTTCATCCTCTCGCAAGATGTTGAGGTAAGTCAATAGTTGCAGCTTACAAAATGGGAACTGGAAGCTCAGAATGGTCAAATAAGTCACCATGTGCCAAACAGCTGGGCAGAGGCAGTTAGGATTTAGCTTTGCCTCTGGGACCTGCTTTCTAGACCACTTGGCTTAACGGTTCATAATGACATTGTTTGAGACAAGTGAGTTTGCCCCCTAAAAGCAGTGTGTGGGTACCGTGTGATCTCAGGGGAGTCTTCTTTAGACCTCAACCTGAACTCTCCACGGGGGTCAGAGAACAGGCTCAGCACCCTGGGCATGGTCCTATCTTGTGGGCCCTGGACTCTGGCCAGTGGCTATTGCCTGAGGGAAGGAGCCCCCCCGACCCCCACCACCCCGCATCACTACTGTTCACTTTCCACTTAGTCCCAGCCTTTGGTGGCCCTCAGTGAGTGGGAGGTGAGATTTTGTTGGGGGGAGAGGTGTCAGATGATTGGCAGGTGCTCTCCCACTGCCTGCACTCCTGCTGCTGGCGTTCCCCGAGTGGGGCAGGGGAGCTAGAGAGGGGAAAGGAACCAAGGTTCCTGTCTGCTCTCCCCTCGGTAAAAGCCAGGAGGGCCGTGCAGAGGGCTGTCTTCTTTCATAAGTGGAGTTCAATTACACTGTGGTGCAGGTGGGAGGATAATCCTCTCCTGGAAATCCTAAGGAATCTCGGTCCTGGTCTTTAGTAAAAGCAGCTTCTGGCTGGCAGACCCCCACCCCATAATCCTCTGACCCCTCCCTGCTCTGGAGACACTAGCTTTCCTCTCCTAGAGAGTGGTTCCAGGCTCCCCAAACTCAAGCTAGTGTAGAATGCAGACGCACAGGACCCCCATATACCTGACATTGCTTGTGATCACACCACCTCTCCCTGGAGTCCTTGGGGTGCACTCCCTGACCAGCCTGAATCTGATGAAAACTGGACAGTCACAGAAGGGTGTCTAGGCCCATCTGACATTTTGTTCCCACTCAAAGTCAGGGACTCCACACTGGAAGTCAGAGGTTGGTTTCTGGGGGTGAGGGCGATGCACTGGAGGCCATCTGGCCGCCTTTTGTTCAGTTCCCCAATCCACCTCTCCAGTCCCAAGTGGAGGGCAGGAAGCCGGGTGGGTCCGTAGGATCCCCAAACGGACAGCGCCCCCTGGTGCTCGCAGCAGGGGTGGTGCTGGGTGGAAGTAGGGGGCTCGACCCTGAGAGAGCTTTACACGAGACCCTTCAAGCGCGCCACTCCTTCCTCCATGTCCTGCCTGACCCAAAAGCTCCTACACAGTGGAGCAGTGGGCAGCGGGGACCCTGACCTCTCCTGCCACCCCGTACCCAGGCGACATCTGCCGGCCCACAGGCTGAGGCGGGGAGGAGCCGGGCAGGGGGCGGCCTGGCAGGAAGCTGCGTGCACCTTCCGCTGCCGCCACAGGAGCAGGTGGCTGCTGTGCGGGCTGCCCCAGCCCAGGCTTCCTGTGTGCACCCGCCCGCCCGCCCACCCGCCTGCGGCTGTTTCTTGGGGCATCTGGGGGTACCACAGCCTCCTGGTGCGGGCTCCATGGCCCAGACCCCCCAGGCTCCGGATGGCATATCCTGTGAGCTGCGAGGTAAGCCCTGGCCCTTCCCGCCTACTTGACTGGGAGGAAGCAGAGCGGAGCTTTGAGCCCCAACGCAGAGGCCCCGCTGGGCAGGAACCAGAGATTTCACGCTGCTGCTCTGAGGGACTTGGCCATCCCAGATTCACTCCCCTCCCCCTCCTTCGGGGCTCGCCCATAAAAGAAGGCGGCCTGACTGTGGCCCAGACCTCCAGGGGAGGACCACAGGCCCCCAGCAGACTGCCTTCCACAGGCGAGATCACCAGGTTTCTGTGGCCCAAGGAGGCAGAGCTGCTGCTGACAACCTCGCTGCCAGCGCGAGAGGGTGCCGAGCGAGGCCATGTCCTGGTATGGCGGGGTCAGAGCCGGGAGGGCCACTGGGACCCAGGCTGCAAAAGGGAAACGCCTCTGCCCTGCCAGGGCCAGACACTCTCTCCCCCTAGGCGCTACTACCCTGGAGAGCCTACCTGCTCCACACCTGCCTGCCCCTGAGGGTGAGTCTCAGGGCCTGGCTTGCCTCTTCCAACCCCTTTGCCCCACCAGCAGCTTCCCTGGTCCTGGTAGCTTCTGCTCTTCACAGGACTGGGCTCCTGGGAGGGTGGGGCTTGAGGCAGGACCTGGCTGACCGGGTACTCTGCAGGTGGACTGCACATTCAGCTACCTGGAGGTCCAGGCCATGGCACTGCAGGAAACACCCCCTCAGGTGAGACCCCTGCCACTCTGCCAGGGCCTGCAGCCTGGCCTTCCGCTCCCCTCCTTCTGTCCCCGGCAGTGGAACCCAGCCCAACGGCCTCCCCTCCCAGGTCACCTTTGAGCTGGAGTCGCTGCCGGAGCTGGTCTTGGAGTTGCCTGGCCTGGCGGCCCTGGAACAGCTGGCCCAGCACGTAGCCACAGCCATCAAGAAGGTCTTCCCTCACTCGACCCTTGGGTGAGCCCCAGGCACTATGAGGGTCTGCCAGGGAAGGACGGCAGTAGGTGTCCCCGCCACACAGTGGGCTGCTTCACATACCAGTGGCCAGAAATCCCTTGCCCCTTCTGATTTCCTCTGCAGGAAGCTATTTCGGAGGTCCACGCCGCCCTCCATGCTGGCTCGCCTGGAGAGAAGCATTCATCCCTCAGAGGCCATGGCGCCCAGCAGACCCTGTGGTAAAGGCCAAGGCTGGCTTCTAGGCCCACCCCCTGCAGCCCAGGCCCCCTGGATTTGGTGATCCCCCAAATGGACAGGGCCAGGGGAGGCAGAGCTACTGCCCAGCATGGCCTGGTCTTCCTCTATTGCTGACCTTCCGTCTCTTCCTTCACCCTGTCATCCCCCAGGTGGCTTTGTGGAGACATATGAGGCTCTTTGTGACTACAATGGCTTCCCTTTCCGAGAGGAGATTCAGTGGGTGAGGGTAGGGCCCTCTTTGGGGGCTCTGGAGGCATCTGATTTCCCCAAGTGTCTTGGGCCCTCCCTTCCCACTGTGGCCACAGGCCCACTGGAGATACTTTCATCCTGTCTAGGACGTGGACACCATCTATCATCGCCAGGGCTGCCGCCATTTCAGCCTAGGGGACTTCAGCCATCTGGGTAGTCGGTGGGTGCTGGCCAGAACAGGCAAGGGGGGAAGGGCCCGTGGCCTGCTGCCGCAGCCTCAGCCTCTCCAAGGAGGGGCGTGCTGCCCAGGGTTCCGACTCTGCACCTTCTCCACCCAGGGACCTAGCCCTGAGTGTGGCTGCCCTGTCCTACAACCTGTGGTTCCAGTGCCTTTCCTGTGTGGACATGAAACTGGTGAAAGGAAGGGGAAGGGAGGGGCTGAGGGCACTAGGGTTGGGTGCAGCCCACTGACGCCCTCTGGTTCTCAGAGCCTCGAGGTCTCGGAACAAATCCTGCACATGATGAGTCAGTCCTCCCACCTAGAGGAGCTGGTGCTGGAGACCTGCGGCCTGAGGGGGTGAGAGGACCGGGCAGGGCTTGGGGACAGGCACCTGGGGCTGGGGATTGGGAGGAGCTGGGGGCCCAGGGGCAGATTCTCACACGGGAGCCTGGTCCCCAGAGACTTTGTCCGAAGGCTGGCCCATGCACTGGCAGAACACTCGAGCTCTGGACTTCGGGAGCTCAGCCTGGCAGGGAACCTGCTGGATGACCGAGGTAGGTTTGGCTGAGCTTGGGGAACCCCCAGCCCCACCCCTGGAGGAGGTGAGACCCTCTTGGTTGTCCCCACCCCTAGGCGTGGTGGCACTCAGCAAACACCTAGAGCGTCGGCCTGGAGGCCTGAGGAGACTCAGCCTGGCGCAGACTGGGCTGACGCCTCGAGGTAGGCGGGCCTGGGTGGGGGGCCAGGTGGAGCAGGGCTGGGCCGCTTGATTGCTGAGCCGTCCACCCCTCCCTCCAGGAATGAGGGCGCTGGGCCGGGCTCTGGCTTCCAATGTCGCCTTTGACTCCGCCCTGACCCACCTGGACCTCTCTGGGAACCCTGGGGCTCTGGGGGTCTCGGAGGACAATGGGGTGAGTGGCTGTCTGTGGGGGCACTGATTGGGCACGCGCAGGCTGTGGGGTGTGAGCCATCTTGACTCCGGGGAGGCCATCTTGACTCTCACTCCGCCCTCCCACCAGGACCTCTACACTTTCCTGAGCCGCCCTAATGTGCTGACGTTCCTGAATCTCGCAGGCACCGACGCGGCCCTGGACACTGTGAGGGGGTGGTTGGTGGGGGGTGATTCGTAGGGCTGGGGGCGCGGGTTTGAGCCCCGAGGGCAGACCGGTGGGCAGGGCAGGGGCGGGGGCGGGGCGGCTGGGCCTGGGCTGAGCAGCCCACACACGTCTCCGCAGCTCTTCTCGGCCTTGTCCTGCGGCTGCAGCGCCAGCCTCATGCACCTGGACCTGTCGAGGAACGTGTTCTCCCGCACGTAAGGGTGGGCGGGGTGGGCGGGCCTGGACGTGGGGCGCAAGACCAGGAGCTGCCTCCTCCCCGCGCCCTACCCGGAAGCCCACTCCTCATGCTCCCCACCCCAGGAAGTCCCGGGCGGCGCCAGGGGCGCTGCAGCTCTTCCTGAGTCACGCCGGGACCCTGCGGCACCTGGGCCTGGCAGGCTGCAAGCTGCCGCTGGATGCGCTCAGGTGAGTCTCAGACCAGCGCCCTGAGCCTCTCTCCTAGCCTCGCCCACAACCTGCTGCGCATCCTGGCCGGACTTCTCAGCACTGGTGGGTCCTGGGGCTCCCGACCCACCACCCCCTGTGCTATCTCCTCCCAGGGCCCTTTTGGAAGGCCTCGCACTCAACACGCGCGCCAGCGACCTGCACCTGGACCTCAGCGCATGCGAGGTGAGCCCTGCCCAGCTCCAGTAGATAGTGGGCCCAGCCTCCTGGGAGCGTGGCAGCTGCCCCCACCTGCGGCCTGTTAGCTCAGCGGCCTGTTAGCTCAGCGGCCTGTTAGCTCAGCGGCCTGTTAGCTCAGCGGCCTGTTAGCTCAGCGGCCTGTTAGCTCAGCGGCCTGTTAGCGGCTGCCTTCTGCTTTCCACCTGCAGCTGCGCTCCGCAGGAGCTCAGGTGATACAGGACTTAGTGTGCGATGCCTCCGCCGTGAGCTCCTTGGACCTGTCAGATAATGGTGAGGCTGCCCCTGTCTTCCCCTCACCCCCCAATTCCGAACTATCCCACCCCCACCTCTCCTCGTTGTGCATGACCCAAGCCACCCCCAGGCTTCGGCTCAGATATGGTGACTCTGGTGCTGGCCATTGGGAGGAGCCGGTCCCTGAGACATGTGGCGCTTGGAAGAAACTTCAACGTCCGTTGCAAGTGAGCCCCCTCCCAGCTCCAGCCTTCCAGACGGCACCCCACCACCCAGGTCCCTCCACACCAACTCCATCTCCTGCCCACAGGGAGACCTTGGACGACGTCCTGCACCGGATTGTGCAGCTCATGCAGGATGACGACTGTGTGAGTTCAGGCACCGGTGGGACCCTCAGGCAATGGACCTCTGACCCCTGCCTGGGACTCCTGATCCCCCTGTGGTCTCGGACTCCAAGGACAAACAGCGTTCTCCAACCCCAGCCCCTGCAGTCTCTGTCCGTGGCTGAGTCCCGTTTGAAGCTGGGTGCCAGCGTCCTGCTGCGGGCCCTGGGCACCAACCCTAACCTGACGGCGCTGGATATCAGTGGCAACGCCATGGGGGACGCGGGTGCCAAGTTACTGGCCAAGGCTCTCCGAGTCAACACGAGGCTTCGGTGGGCAGGGGTCAGAATGGGAGCCGTGAGGGGAGGGGAAAGGGGTGAAGGTGAGATTGAATGAGGTGGACCCAGCAGGTGGGTGGGCCAGGCAAATGGCCAAGGCCAGCGGGTTGGGTGGGCCTTTGCGGATCTCTGCCTCAAACAAGCCGCACCTGGCCAGGTCTGTGGTCTGGGACCGGAACCACACGTCCGCTCTGGGCCTGCTGGACGTGGCGCAGGCCCTGGAGCAGAACCGCAGCCTAAAAGCCATGCCTCTGCCACTGAGCGACGTGGCCCAGGCTCAGCGCAGCCGCCCAGAGCTGACAGCACGCGCAGTGCATCAGGTGAGGGCCTCTCCTCCCTGCCCTTCTCTGTCCCGATGCCCCCTGGCCCAACCGCTCCGTATCCCTTGTCCTCAGATTCAAGCCTGTCTCTTGAGGAACAACCACACTGGTCCAGTCTCTTCTTCCTGCACCTCCCATCAGAAGCCAGTGGGGCTCCTCTCAGACCCCTCGGAGCAGGTCTGTATCTTCCTTCAGCTCAGGCACCTCAGAAGGCAGAGGATGTGGAGCGCAGGGCCCTCCTTGAGTCTGAGGGAGTGACTTTCCTGGCTCCAGGGTAGCCGAGTCCTCCTGTCCTGAACAGGTCCCTCTCCTTGGCCTGGGAAAGAGCTAATCACTACGGAAATAGTTTCCCCAATAATACCCCTGACTGCCTTTCCAAGGCATTTAAATAGACCTTCCTATTGACAGACCTGAATTATTTAAAAATCTCCCTCCGCTCCCTGCTCAGTTGTAACCCCATTCACAGCATCCTGTTCACAGGATTCCTCTCCCCTCATCAGTGACCTCTGTCTGGCCAGATTCAGTGGCCCTTTTTCAGGCTTCGTCTCTCTCCAATACTTTGCCCTTGTCTGATGTTCTCCCCCTCCACCCCCAAGCCCCACGTCTCCCCGAGCCCTGGCGCCTAGGCATCTTAATCCAGGCATCCTGTTAGAGCTTTGCACTACTTACCTTCAGGTGGTCTCCTCATCCTCTGCTCAGGAGCCTCACTACCCACACCTGCCAGGGCTATGGCTAGAGGTCTCTCCTGGTTGCACTGGGCTCCCTTGGGCCTGCCCTTTGACCCATTCTCAAGCTCACACCACTGCTCACCACTAGCCCAACTGCCCATGGCTCCTCTGGTGCCTTCCGCACAGCTCCTCACCCCCTCTCCTCCCCACTCCTCAGTCTGCCGTCTGTGTGGGTTGTGAGCAGCTCCTGTGCTTCCTGTTCTGGATACACTGGAAGTGAGATAAAGTTCCTAAAAGGAACCAAAGGACACAGTGCTCTCCCTCCTTGAACGGACAAGGGTTCCTTTGTGGCTGGTCTGGAGGCACTGGCTTCAGGACCTCACTGTCCTGGAGGAGACCCTGGAGGGGGTCAGGGTCTGGAGAGAACCAGGCTGGGACTGATTGCCGATGCCCCCCAGGAAGTGAATGAGCTGTGCCAGTCAGTGCAGGAGCACGTGGAGCTGCTGGGCTGTGGAGCTGGGCCCCAGGGTGAAGCTGCCGTGCGCCAGGCCGAGGATGCCATCCAAAATGCCAACTTCTCTCTCAGTGTGAGCGCCGCACTGCCAGTAAGAAGCCTCTTGCTCTCTTAGTCAGGTGCCAGTTTGGAACTCCCTTACCTCCTTCACCCCTCCAGATTCTCCCAATCCTGTATGAGGCTGGGAACTCCCCGAGCCATCAGTGGCAGCTACGGCAGAAGCTGGGGGGTCTCCTCGGGCAGGTGGGCGAGGTCTGCCGCCAGGACATTCAGGTGAGACGGTATCCTTGCCCCCGGCCCACTGCCATGGGTGTGCTGGATTCCCACCCACAGAGCTGTCATTCTCCTGAGTCATTGCTTTCTGGGGGTCAGAGCTCCAGGCCGAGCAGCCTGGGCCCTCTCCATACCCTCACCAAGCTCTGGCCTTTACCCAGGACTTCACTCAGGCCACACTGGACACAACAAGGAGCCTCTGCCCACAGATACTGCAGGGCCCCAGGTGGAGGGAGCAACTGGAGGGGCTCTTGGTCGGCTCAAGGACCCTCACAGAGCTGCTCCCAGAGCACCTCCTGCAAGACGCCTTCAGTAGGCTCAGGTGGGCTGGATGGGACTGGGCTGGGCAGGACTGGAGAGAGGCAGCCTGCTTACCCTGGCCTCTCCTCTCTTGCCCTAGGGACATGCGACTTTCTGTCACCGGGACCTTGGCAGGAAGCATTGTGGCTCAGGCTCTGGAGGGTCTGAGTGCAGCTCGGGATCGGCTGGTGAGGAGGAACTGCACTGGTGTATGTATGTACACACACACACACACACACACACGCTACACACGCATGCACACACACATACACGGAGGCACTCTGAGCTGGCCACTGCCTAATAGGTAATGTCTTCTGGGGTCATGTGGCCCAGGGGTATTTCAGGGTTCCCTTAGCACTGATAGGACTATGACTGAGGCTGTAACTGCCCGTCTTCTGGGTGCCTGGTATTGTAGGTGGAAAGTCTGGCTCAGCAGGCAACATTGGCAACACCCCCAACCCTGCCAGCACTGGAGGGAGGAGAACCCAGCCCCGTGGGGCCCGGGGTATTGGATGGACTTTTCTTCCCCGAGGAAGAGGAGGAGGAGGAAGAGGTCAGTGGTTCCAGAACCTGGCATAGAACACTAGATGTTCCCTTCTTGTGTGGGGGGGTGAGGGTCCCAGGACAATTCTGACTCAGGTTGTTTGTATCCACACCAGAATGACAGTGCTCTAGAGAAGTGGCCCGACACCAGCCACTGTCTCCACCTGGCTCCTTCCATTCACAGTAAGTCAGGGCCTTGGGAGTAGTTAAGTGGGTGGGGCTGACTCCATTGGACTGGGACTGGACATCTCAACTCCTGAAGGCAGCCCTGTCCTGGGAATTCCCAGACCCTGACTGGGCCAGGTCCAGGCCCGCCTGTAATTCTTGCAAGGTTGGGAACCATGTGGTCAGCATGGAATGGGAGCAGCGCAGACCTCCAGGGCGGACGCTGTCTCCACTCGCCTTCTCACCCCCGCCCCCCCCCCCCCGAACGCGCATGCTTGGTGGCTGTGCGGAGCCACGCACTATCGGGGCTGCGCTCAGCACCACGGACAGCGGTTGGGGGAGGGGAAACGGGGAGGGGGGTGGGCGGTGTAGTCGGGCCCCTCCCCGCGCCCTGGGCGGGTCCCCCGCCGCCCTAGCTCAGCCGCTTCCACCTCCCAGGGCTCCACGCTCCGTGCTCTCTTGGTGCTCTCCCGGGAGGTGCTGCCGAGGAACCGGAGCAGGAGCCGGAGCTGGCGGCTCCCGGAGAAGATGCGGAGCCGCAGGCAGGGCCGTCTGCGCGTGGGTCTCCGAGCCCCGCCACCCCCGGGCTCCAGGCCGGCCCGCTGCCTCGCATGGACCTCCCACCCGCTGGGCAGCCCTTGCGCCACCCGACCCGGGCCCGCCCGCGGCCGAGGCGCCAACACCACCACCGCCCGCCACCCGGGGGTCCCCAGGTGAGTGCTCTTCCCCTACTCTAGAGCTTCTGGACTTAGGGGTCCTGGACGGCCCGACTGCTCCCCACCTACCCCCTGGGGTGATAGCGACGGGGCTGTGGGTCATAGGGGTGCAAGGCCACCTGGTCCTGTGGCCACTGCTGCATCCTGGCCACCCCACACCCCAGACTGTGTCTGTTTAGGTCTTGGGTGTGCGCCTGGGTGTAGGACTCAGCCTCGGGCTGCCCCCTGCATGGTGGATATGGAAGAGGGTGTCCACCTTATCCTCCCTCCCCCAGGATTACTGAAAGATGCTGGGTCCCTGGGCTTACATCTACTGCACGTCCCGCGCATGTATGTGTGGAAAGATGTATGTGTGGACTGGGTGCCAGCAGGGACAGTGGGCACCGGGTGGAAGGAAGGGAGGAACTGGCTCAAGGCCCCCCAGAGGGTCTGACGCAGCAGCTGGCGCCGCTGAGCCGCCAGCAGGCCGGGTGGGGTGGGGGTGGGGGGACACTGCAGGGAACTGTTTGGAGCAGAGGGGGTGGCAAGTGGGAATGTGTGACCCAGGGAGCGCGTGGGTTCTAGCCTGCTGGTGACCGGGTGGCACAGGGTACGTAGAATACTCCACGGGACAGAATGGGTGTGGGCTGGTGTGTGTCCCGGCCAACTGGGGGTGAAGGGTGCCTGGAATCCGCACCTAGCCCAGCTGACAGTGGGGGAGCGTCAGCAGCCCCTTAGGGTGACCCCAGCTTCTGGGTCGAGTTGCCCGGTTCAGGCGTGTGGACAAGGGATCAAGAGTGCACCCAGCCCTGACCCCAAGGTGTCCTCCAGGTGCCCCCAGCCCTGCCACAGGAAGGAAATGGGCTCAGTGCCCGTGTGGACGAGGGCGTGGAAGAATTCTTCTCCAAAAGGCTAATCCAACAGGCCCGCCTGTGAGTAAGGGGCAGCTGCGGGCTGGGGCGGGCTGGGCACCCCGCGGGCCTTCCCATTCACTGCTGGCTGTGCCCACAGCTGGGCTCCTGAGGACCCGGCTACCGAGGGGGGTACCACCCCAGTCCCACGTACACTGCGAAAGAAACTGGGCACGCTCTTTGCCTTCAAGAAGCCTCGTTCAACACGTGGGCCCCGGCCTGATCTAGAGACCAGCCCTGGAGCAGCTCCGCGCACCCGGAAATCCACACTTGGGGACTTGCTTCGGCCCCCAGCCCGTCCCGGCCGGGGTGAGGAGCCAGGTGGGGCCGAGGGAGGCACCAGCAGCCCGGACGCTGCTCGCAGAAGCCGACCTCGCTACACACGGGAAAGTAAGGCCTACTCGATGATACTGCTGCCCGCCGAGGAGGAGGAGGCGGCGCTGGGTGCCAGGCCTGACAAGGTGAGGCGTGGTCGGGGGCGAGGGCTGCTGGACTGAGGAGGGCAGGCTCTTGCCACCCTGGCATGTCTCCCCAGCGGCGGCCTCTGGAGCGGGGAGAGACGGAGCTGGCCCCATCCTTCGAGCAGCGGGTACAAGTGATGCTGCAGAGGATTGGCGTGAGCCGAAGCAGCGGGGCTGCCGAAGGCAAGAGGAAGCAAGTAAGTTCGGGAGGGACTCAAGACGGACAGGTCTGACTGTCGGCTCCCGCCCTCCTCCTAGTCACAACATCCAGCCTGTCGTCCCCATGGAGCGCTCCTCCTCGGACTTGTGACAGTCCTCTTAGACCTGCAGAACTAAGAGCAATGTGACCATCACGAGACTGAAAACAGCCAAGTCCTCCAGGGCTCCCCTCACTGAAACACTGTTGACTCCTAACCCTGCCTGCAGGAACTTGGGGTCTTGTTCTCAATTAGCTCTCACTGCACTGCTCCCCATATCCCTCTAGAACGCCCCACTGCCAGACCCTACCCAGGGTGTTATACTAGGTTCTCTTCATCCAACCCCCGGTCACAGCCTCTAATAAGAGCCACAGCTCTGCATGTATCCATTTAATAACTCTTCAAGAAAACCCGAATAACACGTGAAGCTAGACGGACTCAGACTGCACTTAGAAGCACTGAAATGTGGGGGTGACACAGTGACGAGAAGGCGTCCTGTGTCTCCTGTGCACCTCCCGACGGAGCTTTTGGGGTCCAAGAATGAACACAAGGGTGAGGCCGAGGGCGGGCCTGGAGCCTGACTGCCCTGTTTCCTACAGAGCAAAGACGGAGAGATCAAAAAGGCCGGCTCGGATGGTGAGTGAGGCTCTGGGCCAGGGCAGGGCATTCTGGGGCAGGGGGTGTCCTCGGAAACGGTCCCGCAGGCATCTACTCTCCAGGGTTCTCTTCCCCTCACTCCTAAGGCCTGGTGCCTGAGCCCCCAGTCCCACGTTGCAGGTGACATTATGGACAGTTCCTCGGAGGCACCCCCCATCTCCATCAAGTCCCGCACCCACTCCGTTTCTGCTGGTGAGTGAGGGCCACAGTGTGTGCTGGGAGACAGGCACGTGGGGTCGGGGCCACCGGGCAGGCCACCGGCCTGGGCCGTGTGGATTCTCTTTCTCCCTGCAGACCCCTCGTGCAGACCCGGTCCAGGGGCACCAGAATCCACCACCTGGAAGTCACTGGGGCAGCAGCTTAATGCAGAGCTTAGGAGCCGTGGCTGGGGCCAACAGGATGGTCCTGGCCCCCCCTCCCCTTGCCCCAGTCCCCGAAGAGCCACCCCGTCTCCAGACAGCTTGGGCCTTCCAGAGGATCCTTGCTTAGGTCCCAGGAATGAAGGTAGGTGGGGACCCTAGCTGCCACCCCAATACTAGACTGGGGACCAGAGGTGTTTCTGATGAAACTCAGTTCCTCTGGGGCCCTAAGAGGGAGGTAAGGGCTGGGGTGGGGGCAGCTGTTGACCGTCCTGATACCCTGGCCTTCCCCAGATGGCCAGCTGAGGCCGAGGCCTCTGTCAGCGGGGCGACGAGCGGTGTCTGTGCATGAGGACCAGCTCCAGGCCCCGGCTGGTGAGGGGAACGCCTCCGTGTGTGCTGAGTACAGGAGGGTGGGCTCCCAGGCCCCCTTCATGGCTCTGGTCTTTGGAGGGAGGTGCCACTGGTCTGGGGGAGGGGTAGAGAGATCTGGGAGCCAGAAGGCCGGAAGCAAGGGTCTGACAGCAGCCCTTCCCACTACCCTGGGCTCCTCCTCCAGAAGAACCTTTGCAGGGGTGGGCGAATGCAGGGAAGCGGGCACAGATGCAGTGGTGCCTGCACATGCGCACTGAAGGATGTGAGAAGGGGTTGGGGCGAGCCCTTTGCAACCCAGCCCAGGCCTTTGTGTGTTCCCCAGAACGGCCCCTGCGGCTGCAGCGCTCCCCCGTCCTCAAGCGCAGGCCAAAGCTTGAGGCGCCGCCCTCTCCAAGCCTAGGTAAGAGACGGCTGGCCAGATGGGAGGTGCCGGGGCTGCTCGGTCCAGTCTTGCTCCTTCCTCTCCTTTTCCTTTGCAGGAGCTGAGCCTCTGCCTGAACAGCCCACAGAGCCCCTCAGCCCTGAGCAGAACCCCCTCTCCCCAGCCACAGACCAAAGAGGCGGCGGCCCTAACCTCTGACCCTCCCCTTTCCTGCCGCATGAGATTATTTTATTAAAAAACTCAAAGGAAGAGTGTGGAACACTTTGTCCACCTGAGCACGGACCTGTGAGCTGTCCTCCCGTGTGCTCGCGTGACGGCTCACAGCTGGGTTAGCTCCGGCTGAGGCTCCATCAGCAAGTGCAAGGCCCAGGCCACCAGCTGGGGAGGGAGCCTGGAAGAGAGCCGCAGCTGCAGGCCAGTGCGGACTAGGCTGGGCCAGGGACCAGGCAGTGCGCAGCCCAGGCACTCACCGAGCAGCTTGGACCTGGGCACAGAGGGAAGCACAGGGTGCGCCATACTCGTACTGGAACGCAGAGCCATCACCGTGTCTCTTAGGAGGGTCCTGAAAGGGACGCGGTCTCGAACAGGAGCCGGCACAGGCCAACCTCGCTCCTCCCAGCCTGGGCGGGGGCGGGGGCGGGGGGCTCCACTCACCCAGACAGGATTGGGCTCCAAGGCTTTCTTGGTGGATCTTGCCCTCGGTGAGGATTGCCAGTTCTTGCCGGGCGACCACAACTCCAGCTCCTTAAACTCTTGCCTATGTTTCTGGGCCCTGGTCACATGGGCCTGGTATGGATTAGGGACGTGGCCAAGCAGTGGGAGACTTGGGGTACTGTTCAGGAGTGAGGAGTCAGGTACACGGCTGAGGTGTGGGGACCTGGGGGGTAGAGTCGGCAAAAGGCTGGCGCTGGCATCACTTCCTTCTGTCAGTGCATGGCTGGACAAGGCAGGGGTTCCTGGGGAGCAAAGGACTCGCTGTGGGCACAGCCCACTCAGCTCAGAGCAAGAGTGACCTGTATAGCCCGGTAACCTGACCCGGTAACCAGTGCTTGCGGCCTGCACACCACCTCACCTGAGGAGCTGGATGAGGACGAGATTAGGGTCAGAGATAGGTCACGAAGGGCTGAATCTGATGGGGGCAGCTCAGACTCGGGGGTCAAGGGAGGCTTATCAGCACCGTGGGAGCCGAGTCCCCAGGTACTCCAGCTTTGACCTCTGCAGCCCGCCTTAGCCTGTGCCCTCTGAGTCTGGCCCAGACTGCTCAGGATTCGCTGGTCACACTCAGATATGTGCAGATATGCGCTGGGGACAGTGCACACGGCTTCCCCCTGTGGAAGGGGAATGCCCAGTCTAGCCCTTGCCCAGTTCCTACTCACCCTGACATTTCCCAAGGGCAACCCCAAACTGACCATGGTCCTGTGTCGTGAAGTGGCCCAGCGGGTGAGGCAGGGTGGTGAGCAAGAACCTTCCAGCATCAGACAACTCTCAGCCAGGCGCACTAGCGCCCCCCAGTGCTCCTGGTCCTCCTGAACCTCATCCAGAAGCTGGGACAGTGAAGGGCCTGGAGGCAAGGGGCAGGACAGGGCGGAAGCTCACAGTGGAGGAAGGGTGGGGTGGGTGGGGAAGAGGTCTTAGTAAAAAAAGCAGGGAGAGAGGGCTGAAGAAGTCACTCTACAGGAAGTTAGGGAACACTGGTCAAGCCCCTGGTCAAGTACCTGCATTGGGGGAAGTGGACTCTGAAAGGTGCTCCCTAAAAAGGCAGAAAGGACAGGCCTGAGGAACAATCCTGAGGCTTGTCTGCACAGAGCTGCCAAGTGCCCACCTGGCCACACTTGGCCCCAGAGCCCAACCCCATACTCACTCCAGGCAGTCATAGAGCTTTTTCCGAACGGCGGGGTCCTGATTGCTGGGGGACGGGGGTTGTAGGCAGTCAGTATTAGTAGGGGGCGTCCGAGTTCGCTCACCCAGAAGGCCCAAGCCAACCAGCCAGCCCCAGTGCTATCAAGCCGACGGCGAGACATCACTCACCAACTAATCACAGGTTCCCGGCGCTGCTCCATGGGCAGCAGGTTGAAGTGGTGCACCTGGAGGTAGAACTCCGCCGTCTGGAGGGGCAGTTCAGGGTCTCAGGCCTTGTCACGAAAAGCCAAGCCCAGGAACCCGCCCAAACCAGCTTCCCCACGCACCGTGCTTCGTTCGGAGACTCGGACGCGAACCTCGCAGTCCTGCAGCAGCAGCAGTCGGCCTTCGGCCCCGCGGAAGCCAAACTCCTTCTCCTCCCTGCAGTGAGCGCGACCTCCACAGCGGGCCCCACAGGAACTCAACCGGCCCGGCTCCGGCTCCGGCTCGAGCCGCCTCCACCCGCCCACCACCCCGGCTCAGGCCGGGCCTTCTCGCTTCCCAAGCCCCGGCCGCAGCCCTCTCACCAGGACGTGGTGTTCAGGGCCTCCCGCGTCACCAGGCACCGGACACTGTGGGTCCCGTCAGACACAAGCAGCTCGGCCCCCAGGTCAGGCACGTCAGGGGCGCGGGAAGGGCCGGGGTCGTCGGGCTCCTGCAGCACCTGAAGCGGCCCCCCGCGTCAACTGCACCGCCCTCAGGGCCAACCCCTGTGTGCGCGCCCCGATAAAGATGGGGGGGGCTCACCTCAAGCAGCAGCCCCGCACGCGGACTGGAGAGCGTCTCTGACCCCAAGATTAGTTCTCTAATCCAACGCCGCAGGACCAGACTCCCCAAGTCTGCCATCCCAGCAGCTGCGCCCGTTGGGGAACCGCGAGCCCGGCTTTCCCGCGGACACCGAGACCCCGCCTCCGGCCGGAAGAGGAAACGCATTACGGGTGGGTGGGGCTTGAAGCCGAGGGCCCGCCCCGCCCTCCCCGCGCCTGCGCATTGGCGCGTCCGTCCCGGTGGGAACGTTTGCGGAGTGCGGCGAGGTGGGCTGGGAGCGGGTCTGCTTACTCTAACCCAGGCAGCGGGCCCGGCGTTCGCACTGCTCAGGATTCCGGCAGCACCGAACAAAGCAGGACCGAGCACTGGCCGGAACGGGAGGAAGAGCTCTGCAACCTGAGGCTACCTACGGCCAAGCGTGGTCCCGGCGAATTAGCACCACGCCTCTTCAAAGTCTTGTGACCCCACGGAGCTCAGGAAGTACTTTTTCTGACTCAGTTTCCTCATCTGCAAAATGCACAGCCCTGTGAGGCAGGGGAAGTAACAGTACACTGACAGTTGCTCAGTAGTCAGTACTCACTCCTTCCTCGGATTGGTCGAACCTCGACTCCGGGGACTCGCGGACCGTAGCGTAATGACGTGAGAGTTCCCGAAGACTTCTCCACCCACACCTCCGTTTCCTAGGAAACGCAGACTCCTCTCACCACTTGGTCGCTGTCCCCTTGACGTCATGGTCCGGATGGCGGGGCGGGGCGAATGCTACCGCCAGGGGCGGGGTGGCGTGGGCCGGCTGGCCGGGTTGTGCACCTGCGCCTCGGCGGGCCGCCTGGGGCACCGTCCCCCGGCCCCGCCATGGCCAGGCCGCAGAGGACTCCAGCGCGCAGTCCCGACAGCATCGTCGAGGTGAAGAGCAAAGTAAGGGCCCCTCCGGCCTTGGGCCTAGGGTCTTCCAATTCCCTCACTCTCCCCTTGCTGGCACCTCGGTCCCACCACCTTCTCTCCTCCATCCTCCACGTCCCACTCTCAGGTTTTCCTGTTCTTCCCCCCATTCGTCATCCTTCCTTCCACTGCCAACCTCCTGCTGCTGTGGCCTGGGTACCTGAGGGCGGGGAGACCTTGGACAGCGTCCCTTGTACTGGAACCGAGGTCTGGGCGCAAGGCTGCAGCTGTTGTGGCTGCACTACATTTCCCCTCCCTGCCATCTGACCAGTGGTGACAAAGGGGCTCGGCCTCCGTCCTGACCCCTCCTCTTCCTCCACCCTCTGCCTCCAGTTTGATGCCGAGTTCAGACGCTTTGCATTGCCTCGGGCTTCGGTGAACGGCTTCCAAGAGTTCTCCCGGTTGCTGCGCGTGGTGCACCAGATCCCAGGTCTGGATGTGCTGCTTGGCTATACGGATGCTCATGGCGACCTACTGCCCCTCACTAACGATGACAGCCTGCACCGGGCCCTGGCCAGTGGGCCCCCACCGCTACGCCTGCTGGTGCAGAAGCGGGGTGAGAATAGGGTAAAACGGGCAGCCTCTATGGGGTAGGGTGACAGAGCAGGTCTACCAGGGATAGTCCATGCCCAGGGCACCCAGGCTTCTTTCTCTGCAGCCCCTGCCCTTGGCCTGACCTCCAAGTGATAGAAAATAGCGACAGTGCCCCCTTCCCCAGGCCTGGGCCAGGTGGAAAATGGCCCATGTGAGCGAGCAGGGTCTCTGATCTCAGCACCTCCCTCTCCTGCAGCAGCAGCTGACTCCAGCAGCCTGGCCTTTGCTTCCAGCTCTCTGCAGCGGCGCAAGAAAGGGCTCCTACTTCGGCCAGCGGCACCCCTGCGCTCCCGGCCACCCCTGCTAATCAGCCTGCCCCAAGATTTCCGCCAGGTCTCTTCAGTCATAGACGTGGACCTACTGCCTGAGACCCACCGACGGGTGCGACTGCACAAGCATGGTTCTGACCGTCCTCTGGGTTTCTACATCCGAGATGGGATGAGCGTTCGAGTGGCTCCCCAGGGCCTAGAGCGGGTTCCAGGCATCTTCATCTCCCGCCTGGTACGAGGGGGCCTGGCTGAGAGTACAGGGCTGTTGGCTGTCAGTGATGAAATCCTCGAGGTAAATGGCATTGAGGTGGCTGGGAAGACCTTGGACCAAGTGACAGACATGATGGTCGCCAACAGCCACAACCTAATTGTCACTGTCAAGCCAGCCAACCAGCGCAATAATGTGGTGCGTGGGGCATCTGGGCGTCTTATGGGGCCTCGTTCTACTGGGCCTGGGCCTGTTGAGCCTGACAGTGATGATGACAGCAGTGATCTAGTCATTGAGAACAGCCAACCTCCCTGTTCCAATGGGCTGTCTCAGGGGCCTTCCTGCTGGGACCTGCATCCAGGCCGCCTACTTGCTGGTGCCCGCAGCTCGCTGCCATCCCTGGATGATCAGGAGCAGGCCAGCTCTGGGTGGGGAGGTAGCATGCGAGGTGACGGTAGTGGCTTCAGCCTCTGACAGGCAAGAAGGCAGCCCTTGCCATCCCAAGCTGCTGGAATGGCAGGACTTGCCCGGTGGGGGGTTCCAGCTCACTACAGAACCCACTCAGTCTGGGGGAACATTAAAGATTTTCTACAGATGCAGTCATGACCCTTCTGTGTCCCAGCCTCCACCCTGATCCCACAGCCCTGCCTTCTGCCCTGGGCATGAGTAGTCAGGGCAGTCGGCAGGCTGCCTTTGGTCAAGCAGCAGGAGGGTCACTGGGCTTGGAATTTCTAGGATAAGAAAAGCTTTTATGGAAACAAACCTCATTATGTACAAAAGGTTTAATTTGACAAGGGCGAAGAGGGCGGGAGGGCCCCATTACAGTCGAGAGGCGGAAAGAGTGCGCTGGGGCACTACCATCCTACCGCTCCCGCCTCAGACTCCACTCTGTGTCGCCTGACCCTGCCTTTTGTGGCCATCTGGTCATCCTCAATGCGGTTTCCCCCATAATCACCACCCCCAAAAGGGACTCAGGTGTCCATCTTCACAAAAACTTTGGGGCGGGAAAAGATCTTGATGGCTTCCTCTACCTGCACCAGCTTCCGGTCCAGTTCAGCGCGGTGGCCCTGGGCCTTCAGTGAGTCTGCTCCAGCAGGCAACAGCACCAGCTCGCGCAGCAGCTGCTGTTGGCCTACAGGGGCCCGGAGCAGTGAGGGCTCCGCGGGAGTGCATGGTCCCCAGGGGTGCTCCCTCCAGCCCCCCCTTGCCCGAGGACTCACTCTGGAGCAGATTGTTCAGGGTCTCCAACCGCTGGTTTTCGGGCATGCGAATATGGCCGGGGGGCATGGCAGGGTCCGGCTGGCTAAGCTGGCGGGCCTCTGCCTCCCGGCGCCACAGATCCCTGCGCTCCAGCAAGCTGTGGAGGCATGGCTCAGGGTTGGTGCCTCAGCACGGGTGTTGGTTCCCATGCTCCACGGGCGCCCCCACCCTGGGCGCAGGGCAGTGGGACCTACTAATGGGGCACGTGGCCCTTCTGCGTGGCATTGTAGTGCTCCTGGGCTTGCCGTTGTTGCTCCAGCACTTGTGCCAAGACCTGCAGTGAGCGGGAATGCCGCCGGGGAGTCGTCCTCTTAGCAGCACGGGCATTGTGGCTAATGAAGTCCACTCCTAGGCCTGGTCCCTGCAGGACACCGCAGCATGATGAGGTGGATGACACTTGTGTCCCTGAGCCCCTGGGTCCCTTCCCCGCCTCCCAGCTCTCACACATCTGCTCACCTTAGCACTGGGACCTGATGGGGTTAGTTGGGGGCTGGGGACACGGGGTGGAGGGAGCCCAGGGCCGCAGCGAGAATGGGCCCTCAGGAAGTGAGCAGGCTCTGTCCCAGAGGTGGGGCCGGGTTCCTGGTGGGCAGGGCATAGCAGAAGGACCAGTCGGGCTGAGGTCAGGGCGCAAGCCACTAGGCCCCCCGCCTCTGTGCCCCTGCCTCCCGGGGCCTTTCATTTTCCCCAGTCCTATGTGCCTCCTCCCTCCTGAAGGAAAATCTATCAGCTTTTAAACGCGTGTGTTTAAGAACAACAAATTGGGCCCTCCCTAGTGGCGCAGCGGGTTAAAGCACATCACTGAGAAGCTGAAGCCACTTCAGCATGAGTTCGATCCCCGCCTGCCCTGGAGGTGACCACATGGCCCACATGGCGTGGCAGACCTCTCCTGACCCGCCCGCTGCTCCCCTCAGCAGTGCGATTTGTTGACCTGTCTGTTCTGCTCTCATTCTGTCACTGGTGAATCCTCTCACTGCCCCTGCACCTCTGGCCTGCACCCTAGTTCTATATGCATAAATAAATAAATCTTAAAAAAAAAAAAAGAACAACAAATCACCTCTCCTCCTACCTCAACCCTGACTCCAGCTACCATTCTTTCTTAGCGAAGCTTCCTGGATCTGGCACAACCGAGTTCTTAAATCCAGGGTCACTTCCTGGTTATCTCATCCTCAGCCTGACAATAACTACTGACAACACCGCAAACCCTGACCAACCCTCAGATGCTTCTGTTGTGCTCTCGCATTCCTACTCCTTCTAAGATCCACGCACCTCAGCCGCAAACAATGGCCCTGTCCCTTCCCTCGCCATTGCTCTCAGAAACAGGCGGAGAAGAAGCGGAAGTGGTCCGCGTGGTATGGGTCTAGCTGACTCCTCAGTCTGAGCTCGTGCGAGTCTCCTCTCATCACATACTGTGTATAGCACCCTACTGCTCACGCTCCCTCTGGCCTTGGGTCGTGTGTGTGTGTGTGGGGGTACCATTTCCACAGAATGTTCTGTTCCATTCTCCCCCTTGCTTAATTCCTGCTCACCACCCAAGATCCCCCAGGTGTCACCACTGCTGAGAAACCGCCGCACACCTCAGCTCCACCCTACAGCAGAGACGGCCCGTTTCCTATTGCCTTAGTTCCCTGGGATTTTCCTCCCTTTGTGAAACCCGGATCAGGGCCAAGTGGTCAACAAGACAGACAATCCTTCTGGCTCCCTGAAACAGGTACCTGCAGTTGGGCCTTGACCCTGGACTCCACTTTGTCGTACTTGGGTGAGCGCCACAGAGCCTTCAGGGGCCTGGCCTGGCCCTCCTCCCGGTTGCGGTCCTGCTCACGAAAGCGCCTCTGGATCTCCCTGATCCGCCTCAGATTCTCTTTCTCGTGGTCTTTAGGGTCCTTTCCTGGGGAAAAGATGCTGCCAGGCTCTGCCGCCCAAGCACTCCAGCTCCCACGTGTCGACACTGGCCCACACCCCATTCACCTTGGCTATTAACTGGGACCTATACATTTATTCCACCTCATTGCCTGTTCCCTTCCTTACACAAAAACTATTTTCTTCTATCTCAGATAGCTTTCTGCGTGTTCACTGTGAAGTACACCATTATTTTGTGTGTCATGATCATCCTTCACTTGTCTCCCACCGTGATGGCAGATGTGTCCTCAACCTAGGCCCATGGGGCCTGACACACAGCAGGCACTCGGGTTGGCCCTCTGATGCATGTGCATTCCCAGCTGCGCTAGGGCTTCCAGACAGGACCTCTTGCAGCCCCTCCCTGCAAGAAGGCAGTGCGCATCCCCGAGCTTTTATAGTTGGGGAAACACATTGAGAGGCAAAGCCTGCGCCCAGGTTGGAGCAGGAGGGGCAGCAGCATTTTATCTCAACCTTTTGACCTCACATTTGCCCAGAACTTACTCTTGGGAGAGGCCCCAGAGCGCAGAGTGATGGCCCCGAGTTGCAGTAGCACTCGCCCCACGCCGTGCTGCCCTCGTTCCAGGATCTTTCGGGCTTCAGGGCCGATGCGAGGGCCCTGAGGAGGGGTGGTATCCAGGTCCGGGTTCCAGGTAAGCAGGTCCCGCTTCAGCGCATTTCCCTCAAGCCGCCCCTGGGCTGTGGGGTGGACAGGGGGCGGGAGTGCGGGCCTCAGAGGTGGAGGTGGCCCCAGCCTGGCTCCTCACCCTTCCCCGCCCAACTCACCTGAGGCTGGTCGCCGGTAGTAGTCGGGGCACAGCGAAGGGTCTGGGGGAATGGGCCCCGAGATGCGGGACGGACCCTCGCACATGCCGCGGACCCTGCAACGGTGCACCGAGGCCTGCCGGTGTGCGCACCTCCCACGCCTTACCCCTGACCCCGGCCTCCCCGGAACTAGGACCTAGACCCCGGCCA